ATAGAGTGCCAGCTCTGGAGTCAGGAAGACTCATCTTCATGAGCTCAAATCTGGCCTCAGACACTTATTAGCTGTGTGACCCTGGGCAAGTCACAACCTCATTTCTTCAGTTTCCTCATCTGTAAAATGAGCTGGAGGAGGAAATGGCAAACCACTCCAGTATCTCTGCCAAGAAAACCCCAAATGGGATCACAAAGAGTTAGACATGACTGAAATGACTGAATAATAACAACAATTGATGCTTTTGTGGAAGGCCCAGAGCCCTTCAGGGCTCAAACTTATATATAATTTGAGACAAAGAGCCAGCGTGATACCAAGGGCTGGGTATTATCTAAATTGCCAAATAAGGCATGAGGACTGAGGGGTAGAGTTGTAGGAAATTTAACTCTAATGTCGCCAATCCAGCAAGAGACCAAAAGGATTAATCTCCAGCCTCTAGGATTATTAGCCTTGGCACACTTTCATCCTGGGGAAATGGGTTAGGGATATGTCACTCAGACCAGTTTTCACTGTTCAACACATCTCCAACCTACTGGATATTTCAAAGTGGATGTCCCACAGGTATTTCAAGTGCAACACATCCCAAACAATTCATTATCTTTCCCTTCAAAATCTGTCCCTCTTCTAAGAGTCCCTAGTTTTATTGAGGACAGCTCTATCCTTCCAGTTCCCTAGGTTTGTAACCTTGTAATCCGTGACTCCTCACTCTCCCTCATCCCATAAAGCCAATCAATTGCTAAGTCTTTTTGGTTCTACCTCCACAATCTCTCCTGTTCTCCTGTTCTCTCCACTCTAATAGCCACCACTCTAACTTAGGACCTCATCACCCCTGCTTGTACTTCTACAAAAGCCTTCTATTTGGTCTCTCTGCCTCAAGATTCTTCTCCACTTCAATCCAACCTTCTTATAACTGCCAATGTGATTTTAATTAAATAGAGGTCTGACCCCCTAGTTAATGAACTCCAGTGGATTTCCGTCGCCTCTAGAATTAAATATAAAATTCTCTGTTTACTTTGTAAAGTCCTTCATAATCTGGTCCCAGCCTAGCTTTATAGCCTTACTGGACATTACTTTCTTTGCACAATAATGTATTGTGCATCTCACATCTCTGTACCTTTGCACTGTCATGCCTGGATTGCCTTCCCACTTCCCTCTTGCCTCTAAGGAACCCTTGTTTCTGTCAAAAGTCTGCTTCTGTATGAAACCTTTCCAGAGCCTCCAGCTGCCAATGCCAATAAAATGGGAAAAATATTATCTGTATTACCATAGTACCAACTTCCTAAGGTTGTGAGGGTCAAAAGAGACAATGCAGATGACGTACTTTGCTAACTGTAAAAGGTTTGGAACATACCAGTGATGGCTGTTGTTTTCCACAATACTAACCTTATAGGAACATGGAGCGATCCCAAGGTCATTCATGCTTACGATGGCAGAACAAATGAAAAAATTACCTGAAACCCTTTGATCCTCCTTGATAATACTCACCTTCCTCATCCATTCTTAGAATGAGCAATGAAGAGAAGAATGGACTCAGCTTCTCCTCCCTTCTCTTACCCAAGACCATTTTTAAAACAAGTAGCAATAAATAATAGTGCTTCACAGTTATGTCTCACCTTGAGAGGTAGCACGATGGCATAATGGATGGAGTGTCTGGAAGACCTGGGCTCAAGTCTGGTGTTTGAGTCTGAGTAAGTACCTTAACTTCCCAGTGACCACAGACAATTATTTAAGCCTACATATTGTCAAACCAGTCTTCATTAGTGAAGGGTTTCCATACTGAAATTTTCCCACTTTGACAAAATCACAGCTCTTCACCCTTTGAACAAGCTGTATTGCTACTCACAAGGAGCGGAGAAGAACAAGCCCATTGTATGGCCTCTGTGCCCTGAGTAGGCAACACGCAGTAGAGGGATTATATTTATGTTCTGGTGGAAGGGCAGCTAGATGACACAGTAGATAGAGTGCCAGCCCTGGAGTCAGGAAGACTCATCTTCTTGTCTTGGTGATTAATTGGACCTCCATTTTATTCCAATCAGGATTAATCAGTTTGATATAATTCCATAGGAGTGGTGATTATAAGTTCTGATATTAGGCCCTAGAGCAGACTGTAAGTTCATTTGCCTAATCACAGGACACTAATTAGACGTCCTGCACTCTTGTTTTTCCTTGTTATGGTGCCCAAGCCCAGAGTGGTGGAGGTTACTCAATTACATAGAAAGTCCCCCAGCTATTTTTGTTGCCCTTCCCTCCCTCATCATCCCTCCAAACATGGGGAGATGACTATGAACCCTTGACTAACAAGTGGCCCTGGTTGCCAGGGCTTGCCTTTCTACTAGTCCATGAATGTGCTCATCAGTACCTCCCAAAAGGTCAAGATAGGTCTGTCAAGGTCTGCTCGTTGGCCTGTTTGTCAACCAATGGGATTTTGTATTTTATGTAGACCCTTCTAGAGGGAAAAGAGCAAGGTCCATTAACCAATGAGATTCTGTATTTTTAATTTGCTTAATCGGTATTGTCTGGGTATCAAGCACTATAAAACTAAGGCCTTGGAGGAAGGGAGGTGTCTCAGATCGTGAGGAAGATCTGAGGTCCACTTCATCAGGGGGGTCATGGATCCTTTAATAAAGTTCCATTGACAGAGCTCTTCCTCACTGATTTTTCTAGCAGATTGGACACTGGGAATTTCCACACATGTAACACCCGAAAGTTTGCAAAGCACTTTTTTTTTTAATAATAACTCCATCAGCTAGGTAGTCAAGTGTTTTTGTCCCTATTCTAAATATGAAAAAACAGGCTTAGAGTTGTCCAGTCTCACAGTGAGTGAGTTAGTGAGAACTGGTATTTGAATCCAGATCTTCTGACTACCTGGTGGCTTTCCCATGAGGCTATGCATGTAATATAGACTAGAGGGAGGTCAAAGATGTTGGTTTTTGGACTTTACAAGTTACCTCATGTTCACACATTCAAGAAATTTTGGGAAATGTATTTCTTAAACCACAGTGATGTTTTGTATCTCTTAGGGCTCCAGCTCCTACTTGGCTCGAAACCTTAAACCCCTCCTTTTCCTTGTAGAAGTACTAGCAGGTAGTGTATTGAGTGATTGACCTGAAGTTGAGAAAGCCTGGGTTCAAATCCTGCCTAAAATATTTGTCATTAGTATGATCATGACCATTTTAACCTCTCTGAGCCTCAGTTTCCTCACCTATAACAAGGAAATAATAATAGCTCCTTCCTCCCAGGGTGGCTGTGAGAAAATAAGGTATTTAAAGTGCCTTGCAATTCTTAATTTACTATGCAAACATGTTAGGCTTAGAGACTGAAGATGATTTAAAAAATTAAAGACAGTAGAATACCTGGACTGGTGTGTGTCAGATTTCCAGAAGACTAATTCTTTGAGGAGATAAAACTACCCAACAACCTCCAATTGCAAGGCAAAGCAAAAAGTTTTATTAATCACTTACTATGTGCCAGGACTTGTACTAAGCATAGTTAAAAGAATTATAGCTTCAGATCTGAAGTAACCTCAGAGGTCATCTGATGCCACTCCTTCATTTTGCAGAGATCTGGAGTGTTGAAGTAACTGGCCCAAGGTTATATAAATAGTAAGATAGAAATTGAATCCATTGCTCTTGACTTCAAATTCAGAAGTCTTTATTCTCAAATTCAGGGTATAAAGTATGGCTCTACCATTGCTACAGATACTGATGACTCCTGCTTGGATGATTAGAATAGTGAAGGACCTTGAGTTCATACTATGTGAAGATCAATTGAATGGATTAGGGGTTAGAGGGTCACAAATTCAGAGCTGGAAGGGACCTTGGAGTCTACCTAGTCCAACCTTGTTCATTTTATAGACAAGTAAACACTCTCAGAGAGATTCATATCTTGTCTGGAGGTGAGAAGATGAGGAAGGTGGAGAGTAGGGAATGATAGCTGTGGAGAGGTTATCATTTGGAACAAAGCATAGACTTATTCTTTTTGTTAGCAGAACCAAGCGCAATGGATAGGAAATGCAAAGAAGATAATTTACGTAAAGCTGTCTTAAGAGTCCTAAGGTTAACTTGGGAATTAGTGGGTACCCTTCATTGGAAGTTTTCAAGCAAAGACTGGATGATTAATTAATGGATATATTCTAATGGAGAGCTATTTTCTGGCATGAATTAGACTAAGTGACTATTAAGTTCTCTTCCATCTCTGAAATTATGTGATTCTTCAGACGAGAATACTGTTTTGAATCCTGAAAGACAAAACCAACTTTAACTAGACAAGATTCTTTTAATACCCAGAGAATTCCAGGGCCAACCATGTAAGCTTCTTACATCAAAGGAACTTCCCCCTTTGGTGCTATCCATGGTCCTAGCATTGCCTCCGCCTGTGACTACTCTTACCATTATTAGATCGTCTGAAGCAGACAGACCACAGGCCCTCAACCTGGGGTGCACAGACCATTCATGGGCAGATTTCAGGGAGTCTGTGTACTTAGATAGGAAAAATAGATCTATATTTTCAGTAACCTCTACCTAGAATTTAGTATTACTTCAATTATGAATTAAAAATAAACCATTTTTTTTCTGAAGAGATGACAGCTTTCACCAGACTGCCAGAAGGATCAAAAACACAGAAAGAGGTTAAGGCCCCTTATATAGTGTCTCTATTTTCATTCCTATCCTCTTTGGCCACATATTCTCCATGACTGCCTTTGACCCCACTGACCTTTTGACTGCTCAACATTGCTTATTAGTTGGTTCTTTGACTTTCTCCTCAGACCTCTCTGACCATCTAGCCATGACCTGGCACATAGTAGGTGCTTAATAAATGCTTATTAAATGAGTGATTCCTTCCCTTGCCACCCTGGCAAAGCAGCAAAATGTGAGCCCTTGAGAGGAGGAACTGTTTCATTTTTGCCGTGCCCAGTGACTGGCACATAGTAGGTGCTTAGTAAGTGTCTGTGGGTAGATTGAATTTTCACAACAACGTGATTAACTCAAGCATTATAGAACTTAAAGAAAGACATTTAAAATATTTTATTAGAGGACACATTTCAATATTGAACAAGACATAAATATGTTGCCTATATTTATAGGAGTGTAAATACTTATAATTTGAACTACATCGTTCAAACAAATAGAACAACTCCCTTAAAACATGAATGAATTGCATGGTCCACAAAGTACAACTCCCCCCAATAATTTATTTGTCTGCTTATTAATATATACATTCATTTAATTCAAGAAAAATGACCAGCATGATTTTTTTCAATGTATTAAAGAAATGGATTTATAAAAATGGTATGTGGAAAATTCAGAAACATTTAAACAGGATAGTTCAAAGATACTCAGTCCATTTCACAAGAGTAAAATGTCTTAGAAGCCATTTTCAGTTTAGATGTCAATGCAGAATACTGCAGCTGATTCAAGTATACAGACATTCTTGCAAGGCAGGATGCAAGTCAAACTCATGAACAGACCTATTTGGCACACAAGCATTCAGTCTGTGACAGTATATACAACACAATCCACATTGCCACAATATTTAGGAAAGATATACATATATATTTCACAAAATTAAAGATCAAAAGGTACCATCCACTCAAGATATCATGTACAGAAGTGATCAAATACCCAAAGCTAGAAGAAGGTCTGGTTGAATCACATATGGTTGATACATTGGTGGAAATTTCACAGGGAATGGGGGTGGTGGTGGTGGTGGTGGTGGTGGTGGTGGTGGTGGGGCTCATTTAGCTCATTCAAGTCAAGGGTTATATTGAAAACCACTCTATCTGATGGGCAGCCCCACCACTGACCTAGATGTTCTGGTTACTACATGGAGCTTGTATCCTGGGTAACTTTTATTAGAAAACAAGCAGAGGAGGGGCAGCCAGCTGGGAAATGTGCTTAGATTCATGCTTTAAAGAGGACTGTGGCATGCTATTGAACCAGAGCTTTAATTTCACAGGGATGTAATGAACCTTTACTTGGGGTGGACCATATACCATGCTAGGAGAAATAAGCAAAAGCTTTTCAGTTCAGTTGCAAGCTGATACTAGTAAAAACCTTTCACTTCTAATTTTTTCTGAAGTGCCACTCAAGGCTTTTGACTACTTTTACACCTCACGAGCCATGATTGTTACCTTGGTGAACCCTCTAGACATAACATAGGTTGAACGTCTTTCAGATTTCAGTGCCAAAGTTTAAGCACTTCTTGAGAAGTACAGAGATTTAATTATTACGTATAGGTAATGTTTTAAAATGGATTGAAAAACACACTACCCATTTCTTTCTTTTGGAAATCCCTTCTTAGTTACTGTTGTTTTAAAAATAACACAGCATTGTAGAGTACAATACTGGCTTGTTAGTGCTCACAAAACATTTGCTCACGGTTATGAATTAGTTGCCTCATGCACAGTGAAAGTTTTGTTTATTTACATGATGTTATCAGAAAAAAAACCTGAATTACTTTTTTTTCTGTATAAATACCAGTGAAGAAGAAAGACTTCTGAGGCCCACTCTTTCCAATGGCATAAATTAAAAGGGCCCAGGTTTGTCATCCACTGGCCCCTTAAAGGTTCAGCCTTGGGTAAAAGGTGAAGGGAAAAGGAGGGAGAGATGTGCGTGCACAGGGGAAGAACTGGTGATAGAGCTAGTTTACTGTGCCAAGCCCTGGGGCTTAGAGGCAGCCATTTGTCATGGCAGTTTTCCTTGGCAGGTATTGGTGTTTCTGTGGTTACATTTCTTGGATCTGTGAATTTTGTTCTTTCTTTCTTTGGAGATGTTTGCAGTGGAGGGGCATTGAGGAGACCGGTAGTTAGAAAGTTAGAATCTGGGTGGTGGGAAGGAAAGTTGTGTAACCATGAGAACACAACAGAGAGAGACTGTTACACTGAGCTGGGTCTCCAAGAATGTGAACAATTAGGTCCTGAAACCTGTTCTTGGCTTTCTCATGTTTGTTTTTGCAAGTGCTTATTAACTCATTCACTTAGACTTGGGCCAAAAGGCAAATCAGGACAATGGGCATGGGATGGGACCCAAAGCAAAGTTTCCTTTTAAAAAGAGAGCCTTCACTTGAAAGTCAGATGGCACATAGAGCCAGAGCTGGAAGGGCCCACAGAGGACAGTGAGCTGAACCCCCTCATTTTAGAGTTGAGCAGAATAAGGCTTCTTGAGGTTCACTGACTTGCCTCAGGTTATAGAGCTAGTGATCAGCCATGCCAAGACACCCCTCTTTTTACTCTACTGCACTGCATCTCCTGATGTGACAATTTTTTTCAATTTAATGGTGCTTAACAAGCATTTATTAAGCACCTACTGGGTGCAGAATACTGTGCTAGGACTAGGGGAGATATAGAGTTGAGATTCAGTTAAATTCAATAAGTAATTCAATTAAACATCTACTATGCATCAGGTGCTGTATTAGACTGGAGGTAACAAAGGCAAAAATAAAATAGTCCCTGCCCTCAAGGAGCTTACATCATACTGGGAGAAGACAAGAAGCATACAGATCAATCAATCAATTCAATATAACCATAAGTTTAGTACAACTGAGGAGGTTGGTGGCAGAGGTGCTATTCCGTATGAACCTTGCTATGAGCTATTAGCTCCAAGAAGCATAGATGAAGAGGGAGAGCATTCCATGCATGGAAAACTGACTGATGCAAAGACACAGAGGGAGGAAATGAAATGTTGTATATTGGCAACAGCAAATAAACTAGTTTTGCTGGCATAATAATAGCACAGAATCCCTTTTGCTCAAATTGACAAATGAATGAACTCAATTTTATGGGGATAGTTTCTTGATATGAGCTTGAGAAATCATCAACACTAAATGAGATTCATCTCTTTTGTCCCCCCCATGACAGAGGAAGTGGGTTGCCTTCATTCTGAGATGATAGCTGTGTGACCTTGGGAAAGTTATTTGACCTTCTGGGCTTCAATTCATCAGATGTAAAATGAGGGAGGTGAGCAGGATGACCTCTGAGATCTCTTCTCGATCTGAACCTCTGAGCTCATAAGGTATACCAGACTTTATGAAATAGGCATTTTCTTGTAAAGCTCTGCGTATACTTGACCTCACAGTGGTCCAGAAAACTGAACTATAGTTGTGGTAGGGATACCAATCACCTTTGGTAGAGTGAGTTTCCTTATAGGATACCAGTGAAATTGCAGGTCTAGTGAAAACAAAATAGCTCTATAAAAGTAGAATTCTTCTTCACTTTCTTTTTGTGAGGTTGGGGAAATCAAATACTCTTAAAATTTATACTTTGTGCTTTAGTTCACCGTGAGGTATCAAGTTATATTTCTAGATTATTAATATATACATTCTAGATTAGACTAGAGGGAATCTGAGTGGAACAAATATTTGTCCCTTTATAGAAACTGAAGAACCCTTTCATGAAGTAGGCAATTCATATTCACATGATATAGATGAGCCCAGTCATTTATAATGGAAGAACAAAGTGGATGAAAAGTGCATGTTGGTTAGATGACAACAGCCAGTTGTCATTGAGTCAGTTCATTAGTGATTCTATGTTGGCTAGTCATTTCAGGTGGATAATGATGTGGGCCTACAACAGAATTACAGGGAACTTGGGAAACTGTGCAGGGCTTTCTAGGATGAACAAAAGTCTGTGTTTTAATGCCAAGATTTTTTGGAGATGTCATGTGGCTACAAATAATAGAAGACCATGATCTCAGAAGAACCACATAAAATCTCTCACTCTCTCATTTATCTGTGTTTGTTAGTTCAAATCTGGGTATGCTGGTTTTTCTTAAGGTAAGGTAAATCTGTATTCATTCAGGTCCCAAATCAATCAATTCATCAATATTCATTTATTAAGTACCTATCATATGCCAGGCACTAGAGTGCTGAAGATACAAATACAAAGAATGGAACAATCCCTACTCACGAGTGGCTTACATTCATAATTAAGTACATTCATATAGATTTAGAACTGGGGGGACTTTGTAGATCATGTAGTCCAATCTCCTCATTTTAAAGGCAAGGAAACTAAGGCCCAGAGAGTGGAAAGGACTTGTCCAAGATCCTCGGGCTCCCAGTCTTGCTCTCTTATTTCTATTTCACCCAAAGAGTTGAATTTTCTTATTTTTCGCTGTTACCAAACATTCCCAATAAAATCCTGCAACACACCAGTAGCTTTCTTCCTAGAAAACCAAAAGATGGTTGATATGGATAGAGTATGTTCAAGCAAGGCTGAATAAGAACACGAACTCCATATCCAAAACTTACTCAGGGCTTAAACCAAGTTTAAGACCCAAAGCTAGGAGCAGGCTATATGGAAAAGGTTGGGGCAAGAAGGTAACTATAGCCTAGGAAGGTGATTGAATGGCCATAGTCAGATTGGACCATAATGGGCTAAATCTTGGGGTATGGCCATCCTTACGTCATACCATTGCTTGCATAAATTTTGGAGCTAAGTGGTATAGTGAATAGAGTGCTAGACCCGGAATCCAGAAGACCTGAATTGAAATCTTGCCTCAGACACTAACTGATTGTGTAGTCCTGGAGAAGTCACTCTCTCTGGTCTTAGACTCCTCATCTATAAAAGGACGGGCTTGGCCTGATGTCCTCTATGGCCTTCCAGTTCTAAATGGTCTTCTAGTTCTAGATCTATGGTCCTACAAATCCTGTCTCAGATACATAATATGTGTGTGACCCTGGTGGTCATATTACCTCTCTGGGCCTCAGTTTTCTCATCTGTAAAATGAAAGAGTTGCACTCATGTCCCCTGTGGTCCCCTTTATCTCTAAATTGATTGTCTTATGACTTTATGATCTAGAAATCAAATGAAGAAACCTGAAGTTAGAATTGAGGTCCTGACACATGTAGCCCATAAGACTGTTCTCTCTTAGCTTGTGTCGATTTGAGTCTGATTAACTACAGAGCCTCCAGAGGAGGGAAACCCAGATGATGAAACATCTAGAGACCAAGACACATGAGCATCCCTTGAGAGAACTAGGGATAGTTAGACTTGACCACTGTCTTCAAGCATTTTAAGAAGTGTTGTGTTTCAGAAGGACTAGACTTATTCTGCTTGGCCCCAGATGGTAGAAATAGGAGCAATGAGGAGAAGCTTCAGACAGGAAGGATTTAGCTTGATATCAGGAAAATCAGAGATTTCTAAAAGTGAAGTGCGTGTGTGTGTGTGTGTGTGTGTGTGTGTGTGTGTGTGTGTGTGCGCGCGCGCATGCGTGCGCAGTGTGTAGTGTGTTCTCCATCTCTGGAAGTCTTAGAAAAAGGCTGATGCCAATCTGTCAGGTATATTCTCCATGACGTTCTTTTTCAGGTATGGATTGGACCTCATGTCCACTGACATGTTTTCTAACTTTGAGATTCAGTGATTCTGGGACTTAGATGAATACATTATGATTGAAATAAATATTTTTGTTCTTTCTGATCCCTCACCATCACTGCTCCCCTGCCTCTGTTTGATCAGTCACAAAATCCTCCTTATGCTGCATCTCCAGCCCCTCCTCTCCACACCTGATGCCACCACCCTAGTACAGCACTTTTCATGGACTAGAAACTTAGCCCTCTTTCCATAGTGTCTCCATTACATTATCCTTTGCCTTATGTCTAAAATAATTTCCCTAAGGTACATGAGTGATCTTATCACTCTCCAGCTCAAAAACCTTCAGCATAACATATGAATTCCTTAGCTTGCCATTCCAAACGCACTATAATCAGACATCATCCTATATTCTCAGGCTTACCTCCCACTTCTCTGCTTCATGTCCTAGGAAAATTGGACTGCTGCCTGTTCCTTGAACTTACATTCCCCATCTTGCTTCTGTGGATTCCCCATGGCTAGACTAGATTCCACTCTTCACCTCTGCCTCTCAGAATCAATAGCTCTTCTAGGCTCATCTTTGGTATCCCTGAAGCCTTCCCAGAACAATTCCTCCTGACCTCTCTTCTTCCTCAAATGCCTTCTATTTCCTTATCTGTCCATCTGTTGCATTGCCACTTCCACACACCAGCAGAATTTGAGCTTCTGGAAGGCAGGAGTGTTTCAGTCAATCAACAGGCATTTCTTAAGCACTTACTCTGGGCCAGGCACTGATAAAGAAAGTCAAAAACAGGAAGGTCCCTGTTCTCAAGGAGCTCACATCCTAATGAGGAAGACACCATTCAAATGATTGTTTCAGGTTGGTTTTTTTGCCTTGGCATCCTCAGTGTTTATCACAGAGCTTTGCATATAGTAGGCAATGAATAAAACTCAATGAATAAAAGAATGGCTTTTAAGGTGATTGTGCTAATATATCAGAAAAATTAGCTCTTTTGATGGAAGTAAAGAGGAGGAAATAGGGCAAAAGAGGGCAGGGCAGAATAGGAGAAAATTCTGTGAAGTGATAAAGAAATGTGCTCAGAAAGTACCCAATCACTGAATGGTAGACGCGGGGTGATAGACCAGCCTGGCATGCAGTAATACCGGGGATGGAGGGGGGAACTGGGAATTTCTGCAGAGTAAATGGATTGTCTTGCAGTTAAGGAAATGAGGAGATTGGCTACAAATAGGAATTGACCCTCAAACTTTGGGCCCAGTCACTAACCAGAGGGCCAGGCTCTTCCCCTATCTTGGCCTGAGTTCTGTCCTACCCAAAATGAGGAGGTTATATTTTACCAACTCTGAAGTCATTCTAAGCTCTGACATGCTGTGTTTCTGTGAATCTCTGTTCCCACTGCCCTTCAACACCTTGCTCAAGTCACTTGATGCCTCAGTTTCTTCATTTGTAAAAGGAGGAAAAACGAACTAGATGGCCTGCCTCTGAAGTTCCTCGCAACTCTAGATCTGCTTTCCTATGAACTAGGGAAACACATGAAAATAATGGCTAAAGCCTTACCATAATGAGCTCAGGGCATCAAGGTTTTCCACCTTTTCCTCTGCTTTCACAGACCCAAATTTACTTAAGTTCTTCACTCTATTGTATTGGGTTGAATTGTACCATGCTGTTATGTAGTAATTGATTTGTATAATTTTAATGGCTCACTAATACTCCAGCACAGTAAGATAATAGGTCCGTGGATTTAGAACCACAAGATATCTTAGTGGTCCTATAGTGCAATGTCCTTATCTTACAGTTGAGGAAACCTAACTTCAGAGAGTTTGCCCAAAGCCACCCAGATAGTAAGTGGCTGAGCTGAGGGTGGAATCCAGACACGCTCTCTCCCTAGCTAGCATTCTTTCTTCTGTTCCATGGTGTCTAGGTTCAAAATCCTGGTTCTGCCTCTTATTACATACATGGCCTTTGGCCATACAGGGTGAAATCCCTTTACCTTTGAGGGACTCAGTTTCCTTAACTGTAAATGATGAGGTTAGCCTAGATGACCACTGGGTTCTAAATCTATGAACCTATCATCTTTTCGTTTCCCAGGTATAGTTTATGTTTAGTCCTGGACTGTTTTTTGGATTCCTGTTAGATGTGCCTCATTCTTTGTCTAACCTAGTGACAATTCCCATTACTTGTCAATACACAACATGACACAAGATGAACAGCAGAAAGACTGAGCATGCTATAATGAAAGAATTGTTTGTCTCTCTCACTGATCTCCCCACCAGTCCTGATATGAGAGGCAGAGAAAATATAATTAAGCTATTCCACTTCGAACAAGTGCTGGTAGATGGAGGTGCATGTGAGAAAACAAAAAGCCTTCTTTGCTGGCCACTTTATCAAATACCTAATTTGGTATGGAGTACCAGTTATCCATGCTTCAGTGGTAGAGAATATTGGAGGACAGCTTCCCTGTGTTGTGTAGGCAAGGCTTTTTGTATGATGGCCATCCCTTACCAATTGGGCTCCTGGGAACATGAAGAGGAGAAAGGTGAGCTGAGCATTTGCAGACAGCTTGAGTGTCCTCTGTAGGAAGCTTAACTCAGTTACTGGGTCCCTCTGTGGCCTCTGGCTCTTTCCACCCCCATCAGCAAAAATGCAAACTGTGATCTCCACTCACCCATCTCGCAGAGGCTCTGGAGGGCCATAGGCTCATGGCCAGCATTGTTTATGAAGATGGTGGGAGTCAAAGCAGGCTGAGATCAGCCTTGCTCCATGACCAAGTTTGTGGGCAAGGAACAGATGCATAGAGTGTCGTCAATGGCTCCGGCTGGAGCTGTTTGAAGGTGTTTTCAGGGTTAAAAGTCCTAGTGGTATGAAAAGAGATTACAATAAGTGAGCACCAAGATCTTCACCAGCACCTGCTCTTCAGTTGCTCTAGTGGGATTTCCAAAGGAGAATTTTGCTTATCATAGAATATTATCCTCTCTGCAGTGGGACTCCCTTTAATGACACCTAATTAAGTATAGTTTTCATGTAGCCAAGAGAGCATCATTTTCACAGAGGAAGGGTTTTGAGCAGAAGTAGCCCCAAAAGCAATTGAAGAGTGTCTGCAGAGTTTTGATTAAGAATGAATGTGATTAGACACTGGGGAATAAATAAATCATTGACTCAGACAAACAGCTGGTGAAATATTGCCATGCTCAGATGGAGAACCTCTGCTCCTAAGACCAGTGGGTCAAAATAGCTGTATGATGTTAATCTTGATACAGAGGGGAAAAGTATGGGTGCTTGGTAGTCACAACTGAAACGATCCCAACTAAGACACCATCATCTAGGCAAGGAAGTTCAAGAGAAGCAAGTGTGAGGTGAAACATAGAATCTCAGAATTGGAAAGGACCTTAGAGGTCATCTGATCCAACCTGTACTGAAGCAAGAATTTCCTGACAAGATTTCTGGTTAGTGTTATCCAATTAGGAGCAACCTACCACCTCCGGGATCACCCACTCCACTTTTGGGTAGCTTGAATTGTTAGCAGGTTTTCAAATCTAAACCTCTCTGTCTGCAAGCTCTATTCATTGCTCTAGCTTTGCCCTCATGGGTGAAACAGAAAAGGCTAACTCCCTCTTCTAATTGAGTATATTGAGTAGTTACCATTTCCAATAATGTCATTTACAGACCATAATCTCTATGTCCTCTCTACCAATCTACCATGTCCTCTCCCATTAGAGTCTAAAATCCTTGAGGGTAGGGACTGTTTCAATTTATCCTTGCCTCCTCAGAGACCAGTGCAGTGCCTAGTTTATAGTAGTTAACTCAGTAAATATTTGTTGAATTGATTTGAATTGATCTGAATTTGTCCTCCTAGACAGGGCCAAATCTCATCCCATTCCACCAACTCTTGGAAACATGGAATGAAATCGAGGAGAAGAAATTTTGAATTTTTTCCTAACTAAACCAATTCTTTTCTCAACTCTAATGTCACAGAATACAATCCTGGTGCTGTGGGTGTCAAGATTGTTTAGAAGTTAATTGTGAAAACACAAACAAAAAGATTTGGGGGGGTAATTTTAAGCCCTGAAAAAAAATCATAACACAGGTACTATTTGTTCATGTCTTCTGGGACCGAACTCATCCAAAGGCATGGTTTTGGTGGTTTAATGTTTTAGGTGGGTATTCACACACATCAGCTGTGGTCTTCAGGTAGGAGTAGTCTTAGATATAAGAAAATGAGCAAAAGGTTCCTATGGAAGCTCAAGTGTTGACAGTAAGCCAAATATTCACTTTCCGAGGCTCTTCACACCTCCTTATCACCAGAACAAGATAAGTCTCTGTCCAATTTGAGGTAGGCATTTTGCACACCCAAATGATCCCTAGTCCTGTGAGTTTGGTCCTTCCCATTAGTTGTGCTGACTTCTAGGGATATACAGCCACTTCAATGTTCCTACTTTAATACATTCAAGAAGCCTTTTCAATCCCAATCATTCTGGACAAATTCTCCAAACTAAAAATAGAGGCAGTAAACATGAGACAGAAAGGATCTAACCATGACCGTCATTTACTTAAAACAGAAAACGCCAAGGCTTGGTGCCAACATATAATGATTTCAGACAGTGTGGCATGCTCTGAGTTGTAGGGAGTGATTTGATTGATTGGTTAAAAAGCTAACTGAAGTTGCCAATCTTTCCTTTTGTAACTCTAAATAGTAAACTTGAGATGATATTGTCAAAATTTTAAATCGACAATTGCATTTAATTTTATGACCAATTTCATGCTATGGGAAAATGTCAGAGTATAATTCTTAGGTTCTAGAGAATGGGAATGGAGATGAGGCCTAAGGTATTTAGGGATGTTTGACATTGCAATAGTCATTATCGTTGATGTCAGATGACTGGACAATTTTCTGGTTGGTTAATTGCACTAGAATATTAACATTAAGTCTCCACCATGTTTTTGTTTGTTTGTTTGTTTGTTTTGTTTTGTTTTTGTTTTATTTGGCTAGTTGATAAAGAAGGATTTGGAAATAGAATGACCTGCATTCGAATACTGCTCTAGTCACTAGTTGTGTGATCCTAGGGAAAGCTATTTAATTTTTCTCAGCTTCAGTATCCTAATCTGTAAAATGTACATAATAAACACACCTACATCACAGGGTTGTTGGGAGGATTGAATGAGATAACATATGAAGTGCTTTGCAAACCTTAAAGCATGATATAAATGCTAGCTATTATTATTAAGGGTTTCTTATCCATAAATGAGGATTAGAGATACTTAACTTCAAGGTGCTCAGAGATCTTCTCTCAAAAGACATCATCCATTTCAGGGGGACCAGATACTACTATTCTTCCCAAGAGGCTGATATTCTTGTAGGTGATGGTAAGATGGGGGAGTCCTGTTTAGACATTTCAACTTAGATGAAAGCAGTCCCATCCAATTCAGATAAATTCATGAAGACTTTAATTGAAGGATGACAGGAAAGTCCATAGGAACATGAAGTTAGAGCTGGGAGGTATTTTAGAGGCAGAATCCAACCTCATCATTTTACAGATAAGGAAACTGAGATAAGGAGAGGTTAAGTTACTTGCCCAAGGTCACACAGACATTAAGTGGAGCAATTGGATGTTGAAGCCAAATCTTGTGCTTCAAATCCAGTTTATTTTTCCCTCCTGAATCATTATGAACTCTTTAAGTTTTGACTTGTCAGACATGACAGGACCCCTATTATCCTGTGTAACTGCTTTAGAATTAATGAAAGTTATAGAACTATAGTATCATAGAGCCATAGATCTGGAGCTAAAAGTGACCACAGAGGCCCTCAGGTGAGACCTTTTTTGACAGAAGAAAAGCCTGAAATTTAGAGAGAGGAAGGGATTTGCTCATAAGGGAAGACACAATTCAGGATGTTCAGCCACCATTCAAACCTGGTCTGAGTACAAGGCAGAATGCTCATTATACCAACAAGAGTGAGGACATATACAGGAAAAGCCTTTTCTCTGGAGAAGCTGGTGAACACTTTCAGTAAAGGAATGGGACAAAATCCCCCAATGCTTCCCAACTGTGCAAAAATTGCCTGCAAAAACTCTTGATTGATTCACATTAAACATTCTTTATTGCAATGTGGGAGGTGGTGACCTCAAACTACAGCATCATTGCCAGGATTGCAAGAATGGAAACAGAAGTGTAGCTTGCACTTCTTCTGGGGGCTCAATAAATGCTGTGCCTTAGCTAGGGTGAGGTGATCAGGGCTGTGCCCCAGGGACTCATAATTTTGAGCAGTGGCATCAAACAGAAGTAGAAATGGGGCCACTCAAACCGTACATAAGGATCCCTGTGGGCTGCATGTTGACTTAGAAAACCACATATTAATGTCTCAGTTGTATTGTATTTTTATTTATTTTGTTAAATATTTCCCAGTCACATTTTAATTACATCTGGTTGGTGCTTCACTTAGCAGTGTTGACACCTTTGATTTAGAGGATGCTGATAGCACTCATGATCCTTCAAGACCACTGAAACCACTGAGTTTAGCACCTAGTTAGCAAGAGTAATAGGTTAGGATGGGAAAGTACAAGGTGTCACCCCCACCGTGTCCACTACATTTGCCCTGGGTGCCAATTCCTAGTTATGTCTCTGCTTGCTAAACACTTTGAAAATGTTAAAGGAAAGGTGTTAGGCCAAGGGAAGAAAGGTACCATGGAAATGGTCCAGCGGCTATCTGCTGAGCATTGACATCACTGATCTGGCAAGAAAAGACACGTGTGATTTGGAACTGACTCCTGCCACACACTGCTGATGTATTGGATAGGCTAAGCCTCATGCATTATGCAATAAAGGTAATGGATATTGAAGTCCCGATGTGCCTGGAAGGTTGACCAGCCCTTCATTTGCTCATAAATGAGTTCCTGAAGTAGCAAGTGATTTGTTGAGAAAGGTCTTCTTGGCGCTGGCCAAACTGAAGAGGCCGGGGAGTTATTTGGCAGCTTCAGCCTTCAGGTGCGATGAGCTCCTGAGTTTCTCATTCTCTCTCTTCCCTTCCATTCAAGGTGCTGCAAATGCCTTTTTTGCTCATCAGCTCCTCAAAATGACTTAACTGGTTTTTATAGCTAAGATGAATTTCAATTCAACAAACCCAACAGATATTCATGAAAAGATAGCAAGCCTTGATCTAGACCAGAGAAATTTAGGTGGAAGTCCTGCCTCTGACACATTGACTGTATGACTCCGTGATGGGGCTGCAGAATCGGAAAGATCTGGGCTTCAAGTCTTGTCTCTAACACCTACTGCCTGTGTGACCTGGGCAAGGAACCTTGCAGGGACCTAGGCAACTCTCTAAAACCAAGTTGCACACAGGGCTCTGACTTGCATTGTTAGAGGGAGTTTCCATGCTGGGAATCACATATATACCGATGAAATCAGGTCTAGTACCTCCATTATCCCTAGGGATAATGTTCTGGGGATACAAAACCCAAAATGAAACCTTTCCCACTTTTAAAGGGTTTATATTCTATTATGGCATAAAATAAGTAAATAAATAGAATAATTGACTTTGATATGGTGCTTTTAAGATTTGCAAAGGACTTTACACTCTCTATATTATCTCCTTTGAGCCTCACAACGCCTTGTGAAGCAAGCGCTATTTTCCTCATTTTGCAGATAGGGAAACTGAGACTCAGGGTCACATAGCTCATAAACGTCTGAAGCAGGATTCTAGCCACTGCGCCATGCTGACTTTCAAAGTAGTAACAGGAGGCAGGGTAGTAGCGAAATTCACATCCTGATAGCCCAGTAGACTGCAAGCTTCCTGCTAGCAGGAACTATCTTGTTTTCATCTTTGTACCCCACCCCCAAGAGCCTAACCCTGTACCTTGAATATAGAAGGCAGTTAATATATGTTGTTGTCGTTTTTTTTTTTTAGAATGAATGAAATCAAAGTCTGATCTTCAATAGAAGGTAAACTTCTTGAGGGTAGGCACTGTTTCATTTTTGTCTTCAAATTGACTAGGGTCTAACAGAGTGCCTGGGACATATTAAGTGCTTAATACTTGCTTGTTGAATGGAATCAAATCTCTTGGCTAAATGTGACCTTTCTTTCCTCCAGTCTCCTTATAGCACTCTGTCTACATCTCTCCTTTGACCCCATAACCCTTTAACTTGGATCTTAATTATTTGTGAGCATAGCATACCCCTTTATTAGACTGTGAGCTCCCTGATAGCAGGGCCTGTGCTCTTTTCTTTTTTGTACCCCTAACACCCAGCACATAGAAGGCTATTAACAAGTATATGATGAATTATTGAACTTTATCAGTAAAGGATTTCAGTCACCTTGTTGGCACTTTCAACACCCTTCTCTCAACCACCCCCCCAAAAAAAAAAGAAAAAAGAAAAAGAATTCTTCTCTCTTCAATTCAAGAACTCAGTAATGTCATCTCATGCTAGTCTCTGGAGACTGAGGGTTGGCATCAAAGCAAGAATCCTGAGAAAAGTAAACCTCACTCTCATATTTCCCACAACAGAGACTCAGGAAGGATCCATAGTGCTCAGGTTGAAGAACTTTCCCTCAGAGGAGAGGGAAATATGCTTAGGGATATTGAACTCCATTTTGAATGCTCTCCCTTTCCCTTTCCTGTTCTTATTCACTAAAATAGTGACTTAGGCCATCAGTAAATTCAGCCTGGAAAAAAAAAATCTCACTCCATCAAGAAATAACTCCAAACTTAGAGTGTGTGCTGAAAATATTCCCGGTGAAATCATAATCATGTATTTATAGTCTTTTGGATTGTGAAGGAAACTTTGTTTCCCATGATATTTTTCATTGGAATGACCAAAGACAAAGAGGAAGGCTCAGAGAGAAAGAGTGTTCCCAGCAAGGAAATAGTGATGGTCATCATTCTAAATCACTGGACTAGGAGATGATCTCTTGCCTCATCCTCTTTCCTCCCCGTCCCACCCTACGTGGAAGGCCATTGCCTTTGCTCCAGGAAGAGTAACTATCCAGCCTGATGAGTGGGAGATGGAATGACAAACGCCCTATTGACATCCCTCTCCCTTGGGACTGGGAAGCCCATTAGACCTCCTCCCCATTCTCACTGAGGGAAATGGTGTGGATCTTAATGGTGGGCAGTTGGCGGCTCTCTTGGATGGCTGGGCCTGAGGACCCCACGCAGCAGCAGACCCTCAGAAAGCTTTTGCTTCTCACCCGGGCTGAAGTGCAGGTAGACTGGTCATGGGACACAGTATTCTTAGCGGGCCCACTGGATGTGGAAGAGAAAAATTTCCACTCGCAGACCCCCTCTGACTTGGAGATCTTATAGAAGGTCTCCCCTGATCCCACTGGGATACGCACCAAGTCCTTGTGCTCTTCTATGGCGTGGCTGGGTGGGTTAAGGGTATAGCCAATGGCATGTTTGGTGGACTGTTTTCTTCGGAGACATTGGATTCTCAGGACATTCTGAAACGCCTTTTTAAACTCTTGACTGGAACAGGGATAGATGATGGGGTTGATGCAGCTGTTTAAGTATCCGAGCCAAAAGACTATTTTAAAAACAGTATCCGAGGGCTTAGCTTCAGGGAAGAAAGACCCTAGAATAAAACACAAATATATTCACATACATTATTTAGCTGGGGTGAAGCATAGGAGAGTAAGGTAATATGCACAAGGCTACAAAGTATGGTATGGGGCAGAAAGATCTTGGGATAAAAAAGAATGAGAAAGCTGACAGTAAATCTTATCACTGTCACTAGCAGGCTGTGTGACTCTGGGCATGTTAGTCAACCTCTCTGAGCCTTGATCACTTCATTTGTAAGATGGGGATAATAATTGTTTCACCTTTCTCACTGGGCTATTGCGAGCCCTTAAAGCACTCTTAGAAATTTGAACTATTTTTAAAAATCATGATGTATATAGTTCTGGGAAAGTCTTTCAATCTCTTTGAAGCTCAATTTCCTCATCTGTAAGATGAGAATGACAAATGCAGCATCTGCTTCACAGGGTTTTTGCACAAAGCAGGTGAGAACTGTTTGTAAAGTGTGCTGTTAAGGGCAACATGATTAATGAATGGCATCTCTGCCTTTTCCAAGTTTGCAAGTGGCTTGTCATATATTTGTAGATTATCTTTTGAAATCTTTGGAAAAAAAAATATATATCAAACCCAATCAAGAAGGAGGCCTTTAAATTTAACCTTGGGTCCAGCCAGGCTGCTCTCCTCACTCTCTCCTGAACACACCATGTTTATTTTTACATCTGGGCCTTTGCTTTCCTCCCAATGCTCAGCAAACTGCAGTGGCTCCTGGTCACACCCAGGATCAAATAGAAAACCCCTCTATTTGTTGTTCAAGGTCCTTCATAACCTAGGCCTCTTCCTTCCCCCACCATTGCAGTCTGCTTATACCGAACCACTCTTCGACCCAGTGACACTGGTCTCCTTGCTGTTCTAGGAAGAAGACACTCCTTCTCTCAACTCTGGGCATTTTCTCTGGCTGTTTCCCATGCCTGGAATGTCCTCACTCCTCATCTTCGCCTTCTGGCTTTCCTGGATTCCTTTAAGTTCTAGCTAAAGTCCCACCTTCTACAGGAAGCCTTTCTGAATCTCTTGTAATTCTAGTGTCCCCCTCCGTTAATGATTTCCTTTTTTTCATATGTTGCTAGTTTGTACACATTTGTTTGATTATTGTTGCCCCCCCCCAGCTTTAGATTGTGAGCGCCTTGAGGGCATGAGCTGTCTTTGGCCTTTCTTTGTATCCCTAGAGCTTAGCGTCATGCCTGACACTGGTAAGTGCTTTATAAATGGTTACTAACAATGTGGATTGTTCTTCCCATTCTCAATCTATTCAAATCAATCAATCAGTCACCATCCTTTAAGGTCCAGCTCAGGTGCCTCTTCTAGGAAACCACCTCCGGGAATGACTTTTCTCTTGTCTCCTCCTGAGCCTTACAGCACGGACAGCTCCTTTGGTAGTTAATGTCATTCCCTCAGAGGCCACATGGTATCAAGCACTAGACTGGGAGACTAAAAAGACTTGGCTTTGAATTTTATCTTTAACATTATTAATTATGCAACAGAGGGAGCCTTTCTAAGCTTCAGTTAAATGACTAACTGATATCTTTGTAATAACGAATTAGATTTAATTTAATAATCTTTATAGTCTTTTCATTCTCTTTGTAATCGTTCTCTAAAAGCTTATGCCAAATGTTAGCTATCTCTATGTTTCCTTCTAGCTTTAAGGGCTACATGACTTTGGGCAAGTCACTTAGCCACTCCAGGCTTCACTTTCCTTCTCTGTAACATGAGGTAGGAAGGGTTGATCACTACTGTCTCTTCCAACTATAAATACTATGAACTCGTGAAAGGAGCAGATATTGACTCATACATCCCACTGCCTAGTGGACTTAAATGCCCATCTAAGGATGGACAAGAGGGGCCATGGAGTGACTGCTTTGGTCCTCTTTGAGAAAGAAGAACAACAATTAACCATTAAGTACTTACTATATGCTTGGCGCTGTTCTAAGACAGTTCCTGCCTTCAAGGAGCCTTAATGCTAATGGAGGAGACAACAAGTAAACAAATATGTTCATATAAGCTATATACAGGATATATTGGAAATATGAAAAGAACAAAGATACTAGAATTAAGAGAGTTTGGGAGAGGCTTCCTGTAGAAGATGAGATTTTAATATGGGCTTAAAGGAAGCCAGGGAAACCAGCATGAAAGCTGAGCTGTCTCTCTTCCCCCCTCATCCCTCCAAATGGTTTAAAGATCTTCCTGTATTAGTACTCCCATGTGAACATGAAAGTTTCTCTCTGGTATTACTTCCTCAGTGAATCATTCAAAGGATAAGTTGGATGAGTGGAGAAGGAACAAGGTGGGGTGGGCAGTGAGTTTCACTGTGATGATGGCTTTAATCAAACAGAGGGGAAGGAAGGGCCAAAGGCCACCACGTCTGGCTAGCTGCAGAGGAACTTTAATAAGGCACAGACTTGGCCGTTCAGACCAACGTTCCCTCCTCCCACATGGCCAGTTAACACTAACAAGCAGCATCGCTAACAAGATTGCCTGTACTTTGCAAAAGCCTGACAGTGTGCCTAATGCCTGCTGAGGAGAGCTGGGCGTGTCAAAACTACCTTGTCTGGGAGTCTCTCTTATGACCGAATTAGAGTGGGGATAAATTTTCCTTTTTTGGAAATTTTTGGTAGAGGAAAAATATAAAAATTTCTGAACTCTGAGTCCACATGCTAAGGAGTGGTTATGAAGTTGTCTGAAATTTGTCATAATCCTGTCAAGTGGTGACATTCTTGAATGGTTATTATTTGAGGTTAAGTGTCAGAAAGCAAAAATGAGTGGGATGATAATAACAACGAAAATATTTCAGATCACGTGCTTGAGGTATAAAATTTTAGGATCTCCTTTTCTTTCCTCCCTCATTATTTCTCTTCCCATTCCTTTTAATTGACCCCTTCCTTCCTCCTGAGCCCCTTTCTGCCCAAGACTTTGTGCTACCTTCTGGGTGAAGGCCTTTTATTCAGCTCCCTATGCCTTCTACCCAACAATACTCTAGAATTCAAAATTCTCTCCATCCTTCTAACTTGTCTTGACTGTAGCAGAATTCTCATTTTATCAGCATTTCTCAGGTATGTGTTAGGAAAGGCATAGATCATGGATTCAGAACTGGAAGGGGCCTTAGAAGGCATCTGGCACATTTTACAGATGAGGAAACCGAGGTCCCGCGGAGTGAAATCCCCATGATCACACTGGTAATACATCACAGGCAAGAGTCGACAGTGCCACTCAGAATTTGAATGTGGCAGTTTCTCTGACTGGACTTCTCCCAAACTAATTCACATAAAGATGTGACTGAGTAAAGCCCCTAATCTTCTTAGCAGGTCTTAGCAATCCAAATAAGATATCTGATTGAGTATCAGAAAGATTAAAGGATCTCTGTGTGTGTGTGTGTGTGTGTGTGTGTGTGTGTGTGTGTGTGTGTGTTGTTTTTGTGTGTATATAGTGGGGGAGAACAGGAGTGAGGTTACGGTTCTTAAATCACACCACTCAGTGGATTTCCAGGTTTGAGCAGCTGTCAGTGTGGAAGAGAGATTAGTATTGATCTGTTAAGTCTCAGAAGGTAGAGTCAGGAGCAATGGGTCCTTATTTACAGAGAAAGATTTTGGCATCCAACAATGAAAATCAGCCCTCAGTGCAATGAGCACTCTCATGCCTGCCTGATATTAATTAACAACCAGAATACTGCAGCAACAAACTTGTGTCACCATTAAGGATAGTAGCTTCACCATCCTTGGATTCAAACACCACAGTCTCAGATGCGGTTACAGATGAGATATAAAGAACACTGACAAAAAGAAAGATGGGAAAGTCACTGTCGTTGGTAAGTGGTTAATCTGTCTTCACCTGAAGATCTTCAAGGAGGGCAAACACATCACCTGTCCAGGCAGCTCTTTCCACTTCTAGACAAGCTCTAATTGTTAGGGAGTGACTCCAGATATCAAACCTAAATCAGCCTCTTATCCCATTCTTCCCATGACTTGTAGGTCTTCCATCTGTGGCTAACTAGTAGGATGGTCCATCTTTTGAAGATTAGCCCTTCAAATACTTAAAGACAGTTATTAACACTCTTCTCCAGGCTAAACACTTCCACTTCATTCAGCTACTTCTCATATGGATTGAAGTAGTTAAAGACCCCCCCCCCAACAACTAGGGTGTTCTTTTCTGTACACTCTATGGTATTTCTATCCATAAACAATTATTAAGCACCTACTATGTGCTAGGCACTGTGCTAAGCACTGGGGATTTAAAAAGAGGCAATGTCTTTTTAAAGATGTGATGCCCAGAACTGAGTAGGTGGCAAAGCCTGGATGGGATTGTTATTATGATTATTATTATGATTATGATTATTATTAATATTGTTGTTATATTGTAGATGAAATCTGACCAGAGCAAATCACTTCCCTTTTTCAGATTTTAGTGGAGGTCCTGAAAAGAAAATTTATTTGTCTTGTTATAAAAATCAGAGCTAATGGCAAAACTGGGAACATAAGTCTATACTTTCTTCTTTTATCCTCTTGCTGTTATACTGTATTGTCTTCCCAGCTTTATTCTGTATTTTTTGAATTTATGGAATAAAACAAGCATTTCCGTAACATAGTATGACAAAAAAGAGGATTGCACCTGAAATTGCAAATCCATTACATTGCAACTTTCTATTCCTTTCAAATACATAATGAAGTTATCATGCAAATTTCTTTTTTCTCTTCCCTCCTTCACTCTAGAGATGGTTACCATTAGACACACATACATATGTAAAACAATTCTCCAAACATTTCTATTTATCAGTTCTTTCTCTGGATGTAGATAGTGTCTTCACATGTCCTTGCTTTTTTATGGAATATTTGGTAACCCCAGAATGAAACAAAACCACTAAACATGATTGACTCTGGAGTTTGTGGACATTTAAGCTTATTTAGGACACCATGGTATAATAGATAAGAGCATTGGACTTGGAGTCAGGAATAGCTAGGTTGAATCTCACCACCTACGCTTACTAGCTGGGTGACTTTATCTTATTTTATT